TGTAAAGTGGTGCTCAATATATTTGTTTTTGGCTGATTGATTAGTGATTCCGGGTGGTTAACAGCTAAGTTCGTTAGTCCCGTAGTGTGGCATTTTTTTACCGTTGAAGGTTGCGGGGGTCTTCCTGTTGGATGGTGATATCGGCGCCGACTACAGTCGCGTAGAGGATTTTTCCCTCTATCTTCCACCAGTAGGGGTATAATTCCATGCGGGCAATCTCTATGCTCGTGACTAATATCCCGGCAATTGTGGTAGTGTAGTCATGTATGTTTAAGTGTGAGTAAGTAGTTGTTGAGGATAGGACGAGGAATGGAGAGGAAAAGTCGCTCGTTGTCCGTGGCTCGTTTGTAAGAGTACTTCTATGGGCGTTCGCCTGGTATTTGACCCTACTTGATCAGAGCAGCCGGCCACTAGAATTCGCCTCCAAAACAGCGATTGAATTTTAACTAGCTCTCTAGCTACTGTCGAAATACTGCTTCCGTCAGCACTTCATAGAAAACCTAGGACCTCCTGGTAGAGGCACTGCAAAGTCATTGAATCGTGTTTTTCAGAAAACTGTCAAACGCCAAATCTAACACACACTGGGGGCGGATTTTGTTCCAAAACTCATCCTTTAGTACCTATTTATATGAATCTTCATTTGTCAACTGCTTTGATAAATACAAATATTTTGAAATTGGAAAAATTGGGAGAATGTTTCTCGGTTTTCACGAAATGAGAAATTTGGCGTTTGACGGGTTTCTGAAATAAACGATTCTGATTCTCCCATACCTCTCTCTGTGATAGATTTTCGGAAGTTTAATTTTAATTCTCGGATATCAAATGTGCTTATATTCATGCACATGGTAAATGTTAGAAAAATGCAAAAAGAGTAGAAAACCCGCAACCAACACGATATGAACAATAAGATATTAGCATAATAGCAATAGATAGATAATTCCTCACTACGCTTACGCAGTAGAGAGAAAGGAATGTAATGCTGCGCGAAAGGGCGAATTTCGGTAGAAACTCTTATTACAGGAGTCTGGTAGAAAGAGTGGAAAATCCAGTTGCTAAATTTACAAAAAAATTCTCTAACACGTTGTGTATTCAGAATCCATTTTGGTGGGTCTTGATACCGAAATTGACTGATGGCAAACGTATGTCCGTAAGTCTGTGAACAACGTTAGCGGGCTAAACTGTCAGCCAATTTCTCCAAAGTTGGGAATTCCCATCAATCTAGCTGATGCTGTGACCCCTTGAATTTGAGCCTATAGAGTAAATGTTGAAAATTGTTCTATCCTTTATAATAAAGTTTTTATCGGATAATGTTTAAGACAAGGACGTTAAGACAGTGGTGTCAGTTCATGACGGTTAAATCTGATTTTCAAAAATTGCAAAATTTCAACTCTTTTTGACGTCTTCTACAACTACAACTATACTATAAACATTTTTTCTTAATAAATGTGTTCATGAAAAAACAGATCTAAAAAACAACTATGTTCAATTTCTCCAAACAGGTGTATTTTCTGACATTTTGTGTCAAACATACGTGAATTTTTGTAATTCTTAAACAATGTTTTTTTTACAAGTGCATTTTTTGATTAAAGTAGACATAGATAACTTAATTACACTTAAATATTGTGCATTCTCATGTTCGTTGACATGCCCTACCTTTTGAATTAAAAAAAAATGTTCGCATCTTCCTTACAAATACAATTGGAAGAGACATTTTTCTTAATGAATGTATTCATCAAACACAGATCTTCAAATAAATATCATGTTGAATTTTTTTTAAATATGCGTATTTTGTGTATCATTTGGTGACAACATAGTTGCCCGCTCCGAATTAACTGCTCTTCTGTGAACATACTTCAGGCAGTGGGACTTCTTAAGTTAGAAATTTGTATATATTTTCATATTTCTTTGTTTGTTTCTTACATTCGAGCTTTTGTTATACTGTTAACAAATTATCTTTTATAAATTCTTTAAAACCTATATTGAAATAAATATTGCTACCCTTCAGGGAATAGCAGATTGGACATGCAACAATGGCTCCGGCAGCATGACTCGGGAGAGAATTTCTAAGAATTACGTCTTATTGTTGGACATATTTACTTGTATGTAATTAGCTGTTATTGCAAATTGGTTGACTAGTTTGCTAGAAAATATTTAGTTTTTCACCAAATGATGTACGACTTATATAATATACAAAAATGAACGAGGTATGTTAATTCGAGAGAGATCTGTGGTATAAATAGTATTAACACGTAGTTATACTAAAGAACAGAGAGTACGTAAGGAAAATTCTTGTATACGTGCGGCTCTAGCACTATTTTAAATAAAGAGACTTGCCATTTTCGACCCGGGCCGGCAGAGTTGTACATACTCGGGAACACAAGCCAAATCACATGTCCGCGGCGTGACAGGGAACAAATAGGCAAGAAACACATTTAGTACGTTCCAGCCTTTATCTTCAAAATTTCTTCTTAAAACTTCTTTCAGTTAAAACAATTCGTATTTGTAATTATATTGTTTAAAATAAAACTATTACTACTAAGCACTCTTGTCCAAAAATATAAAGCATAAACCGGTTAAAAATGAACATTTAATCCCCCCCCCTTTTTTTACTGTAAGGATTCAAACCAGCTTAAACCGACCTACCTTCCTCTCACCATAATTTTCTTTTCCCTTCCCAAAATAAAGAAAATTAAATTAAAAATTAATTTCGGGTAGCTCTTCACAAGCGTCAAATGACTGACGTCTGTCTTAGCGCGGCAGCGACGCATAAAGGTCGAAGCACACTAGCACTCTGCAGTGGTATACGTCGCCAAGAACGTCCGTGGCTTAACAACCAATGGAGTTTGCGGCTTGAATGTGTTCGTTTTTCCTCGAGAAGTTTGTAGTTTTGTAAGCTTCCATAGCGTGCATAACACTCAGACAAATGACGATGTATCTTGAACTTCTTTGAACGATTCATAAAAAGGAAAGATTACAAAGAAAGATTTATTAAAGATGAATTAATTGAATGGAGATGATTGGTATCTTGCCGTTTAAAACAATGTAATTTTGAGAGCACTTTTGTGAAGTACGGCACGGACATTTGGAAATAATGAAAAAATGTCCCCGTCCTTGAACAAAATCTGAAAGAGGGTGTAAACTGTTTCTTTCACGAGGCTCTCGTTATTAATGGCTAAAACCCACATACTGTTTTCTTTTTAGGTTTAATTCTAATGCAACGCAAAATTACACCCGTACATCATCCCTGTTTGCTAACACAAGACCACAGGCCGTCCATTGCATTGGGTTTGCGTGTGTCAATCACGCTCGTGTGGCCTGACAACTAACGGACGTCAACGACACACGACGCTCGAGTGTCGTTAGCCTAAGTCTTGTGCCACAAGAGTTACGCCGAAGCACAATAAGAAACGCGCGTAGATTAACACTCACTGATGAACCGATACGGAGTTAATCTACGTCGTACGTCAACGCAACGCTTGTGTGCAGGAGCACTTATTTTATGGACGGCTTAGCGAACAAAACTTGCGACTACTGCAAACTTTTTTTTTTAATGGTCAAAATTGTTTTGTTCCGCAACACTTCAATGTTTGTTAACCTCTCACTCTCCGAGGTCATGTCAACCATTCGTCGAACACACACAAACTAATCCGGTCGTAGGTGCTCGCGTGAGAATTTATTATGTAACTATTGTTACCACTAAAAATGTATTTTACTGGGAACATCTTTTAATATATTTTACTTCAATTATCTGTTCAAAAACATATTTACAAAATATATCTTAATGGAAATAAACTTTGTCTCGCTTATTAAAATATTTGCTTAACATTATTTGATAGATTTATATACAACGTTTTCTTTCACATATTTTCTTATTTATCAGTTGAACTCTACACATGTTATTGAATATATACTAGTAAATGTTTTTGAAAGAAAATCATGTCGTGAAGTTTTCTCAAAAGAAAAACATTTATAATTACGCTTCCATTGGATTCACAATAGAAACGTTTATCATTTCCACAATTTGTACCAAATTAATTATGTCTATAAATGAATATTTTTGCTTGCAAAACACTAGTCTATCACATTAATATGATTATATTTGCAAATGCTTATGTATTTGTACATTACTGTTGATTAAACAAGGATTTACAATTCCATTTCTTCAAAATCTTTTGTATTTTACATCCATTATTTTGTACTTTAAACTTTTATTCCTTGTTTCTCTTGGCAATGATCTGGTAAAGACCCTATTACACAATGAATGGATTCTGAGTTTTACTCAGTATTTCAAAGAATTCATGAGAATCTAATGCACGTGTTATCTATATTGTTATACAATAGTCATTTTTAATTATCTTTGAAGTATTAAAATAAATCCGTCATGAGTAAGCAGTAAAAAGAAGGCCTCTGCTCTCGCTGCTGAAAATCTCGTCACGCCGGAGCATCCGTCGGCATGGCCAAGCTATGATTTGCCGACGAATGGAGGGGCAAAGTAAGACCATCGTACGTCCGTGGTCGTGATATGACGTGATGAAGCAGACCGGAAGCCTTTGCTATCCTTAACAATCTATCAACCTAATGGCCTGCGGGAAATGCTAGAGTCAACAGAAGCGCTAGGGTGAAGCCAAGGCCTTCAAAAGCCCTTGGCCAGGCCCGTTCTCGGAAAGCTCGGCTGGTCAGGTGGAGAGCCTGCGGAAGAAGGCGTCGAAGGCCTTGAGAATTCCTGGGCCAGGCCCGTTCCTGAAGGTTTGGCCTGTGATGAAGGCGTCGAGCGCCAAGGGAAGCCAAAACCCTCAGAAGCCCTTGGCCAGGCCTTTCCTGAAAGGTTCGGCTGGTCACATGTAGGGCTTGCGGAGAGACGTTGAGCGCCAGCGCAAAGACAAGGCTTCAGAATCGCTGGGCCAGGCCCGTTTCTGGAAGGTTGGGCAGTCAGATCTACGGCCTGCGGAAGCCAGGCCTTCAGAAGCCCTTGGCAGGCCCGACCACGGATCCACGCTCGGCTAGTTAGATGTAGGGCCTGCGGAAGAAGGCGTCGAGCGCCCAGGGCGAAGCCGCGCCTCCGTAATCCGCCGGCGTGCGCCGGGCCGCGTCCACAGCGCCGAAGTCCGCGGCCGGCGTTGAGCAGCAGCAGCGCGCAGTCTGCGCAGTCGTGCAGCGCGGCCGTATGCAGCGGCGTCAGCCCGTCGCGTCGTCACGTCCACGTAGGCGCCCGCGCGCAGCAGCACGTCTGCGCAGCGCACGCCGGCCCCGTCCGCCAGCGGCGTAGTGCCCCAGCGCCTGCCGGGGGGGCCGCTCCTCGTCGGCCGCGCGCGCGGTCGGCGCCTCGGGGTCTGCGCCCGCCGCCACAACGCCGCCACCAGCGCCGGCTGCGCGCGCTGAGTGGCCGCCATCAGCGCCGCCTCCATCGACGGCCCTGTCAATCAATCAATGAATCAATGAATGAATGAATCAATCAGTAAATGAATCAATCAACCAATCATGCCCTTTTTCGTAACAAGGCTAAGGTCCCCAGTCCTACTTTTCCGGCTTAACACGCAAAATTCGTTACGCTTCTTTCGCCGTCTAGTTGCGCCGCGCCTGCCAATCAATCAAGTCAATCATATTTCGTAGCAAGGCTGAGGCTACCAGGTCTAGTCTTCTGCCTTACCACGCAAAATTCGAAACGCTCCTTTCGCCATCTAGCTGCGCCGCCCCTGCCAATCAAACAATCAATGATACCTTCTTTTTCTTGGCGAGGTTGAGACCATCAGACTTTCTCCTATTAGTGTAATTTTTGATACGGTCTTTTTTCAATGTAGCTGCAAAAGAAGGTGTCATGTGGGCGATGAAATAGATTTGAATTTAGCTAGTAGGCTTCTTTAAAGTTTGAAGTTCTTTTACATGCAGTAAATGTACGTGGAATAGTGGTGGTTCTTTTCCTCTAAATGAAGGCGTACTAAGCATTGTTTCGCACCCAAACTTCCAGGTCTTCAATCATCGTGTCACGCACTCCTTGACTGGTATTATGCCCTTTGTAAAAGTAGAATGCTTCAACGCATTAGGTGAGAGATTTTTTTTTACTTTTATAATAACCCTTTTATTATTGACAGTTTTTATAGTAATAAAAACTGTCAATAATAGTTCTTATCTTACTTCTTTGAAACAATAACCAAGATGTTATCTCAATTGTCAAGCTGGTAATTGTTAACAAGATGGTAATGATTGGGAATTTTAGTGGAACAGATTTTGAACGACTTGCGAACGGCTAACACTTTCCATACATAAATGAAGATTAAATAAGATTTTAATCAACATATAGAAATATTTAACTTTTGTGATTGAGTAAAGAATACGCGAGGAAGAAAATATTTTGAAAAAATATATTTGAACCTTATAAATATTCTTGTAGAGAATGTAGACAACTTTTGTTTAATTCACTAACTAATGAGAGCAGTGTATTTGAAGCTAGGCATGGTTTCCTTCTCGCAATCAATTTCTTGAAATTTTGCGGGCAACAATGAAAAAAATTCAGTGCTTTCCTCTCATTGGAGGTAATTGTTTCATGATTTTCCAATTATAAAATTACGTTTTACGTACTTTTTTAAGATTTGTCTATGAAATATCGGAAAATAAATTAAAACTAGTCTAGAAAAAATTAGCTAGCGCAATCGTTGTGAAACTGAAGAAAAACAGTATATTAGCACGTCAAGTTTCCTTTTTCAATCTTGCCCTTTCCGAAATAAAGGTTTCGCTATCTTACGAACAGAGGTCGAATTTTTAGAATGGTTGTCGGTATTAGTGTTTATTTGGACAAGTCTGAAAGCACAAGTATTGTGAGCGGACATTTCTTGAGCTCTAGGATTCCAAACCTCTTTTCAACAACAAACTTCATGAATAAAAATTAGTGCGGAGTGTTGTTCATTACATTCGATAACGAATGTTTGTTAAAAAGAGAACTTAAGATGAACAATTGACGATTTTGTCTTTGAAGTAATGTCAATGAAATATTCACCACTCACTCTTCTAGCAAAATTGCAGCTTCTAGCAAAAATGGAATTGCAATTTTAGTCGGTAAACCAGCCCGTAAGTAAGCGCGTGTAATGTACTACCAAGCCCAGGAAGTTTTTAATGTCTGAAATAAAATATACCAGCAATACACTATTTTAATTTTCAGTACCTTTCAAGAAAATTATGACGCCTCTAAATCGAGGAAAAAATATTATTCAATTTATAGAATTAATAAGACTGTTTCGCTCTCACTCGTCACAGTGTTGAACATTTTTTTCTTGACTTCTCTAAGCACATTTTGGGTGGACCCTCACAACTATAGTAGTAATTCTTATTTATTTCACTGAACTAAAAAATAACATTTATTAACATATTTTGCATTTAAACAATGATAAGTGTATTTACAGATTGTTTTCTTGTTGATATCAGAAGGTAACTTACTTCAAAGCCAAACCGACAATAAAAATTGCTAAGTAGGACATCTTTACACGACTACTACGTCTAATACGGGAGATACGAAAGACGGTTTACCTGTGGTTTTGGGCAAAGCGTTTAGCATAGCTTTGAGGTCAGCCTTGCAGAGCGCCTCTATCAGTTCCAGATCAAGGTTTTTGTTCTTGAAAGTGATTGCGATGGGGGAAGAGACGCTTTGCTGAACCAATTTCAGTGACGTCGCGCCGCTTTCCACACTTAGATTCCGACCATTTGCAGCGCGAATACGCGAGGAAGACCTCAAGCATCTGGAAGGAAGAATGGAAGATTGTTTCACTAATCTATCGATTTCAGTGTTCGATCGTGCATCGATTTATAGTTTTACATGATTCGATTCATCTAATATTTCCGATTAATTTTTCACGTTTTAAAATTGAAGCTAGGTTAAAATTAAGTTTTCAGTTTATCCCTATACTGCTAAAACAAACTACAACACACGAGTGAATTATTGAATAAATTTCAAAATGTTAATACTTTTGTTACTTGAGAGTCAATCTCTTAAAAATAAATATTTCCCGAAACCGTGTGAAGGCCTAAAACTAGACTCTACTATTGTATTTTCTTAAGGTCAATTCTAGAGCAACTCGTAAATTTGTCACTTTTCATAAATTATTTTGAATACGACTCAACTAAAATATTTAAACATACTATAGATACTTTACATTTTAATTCTTAAAACACCAAGTCTATCACTAATGTGAGTTTATGTTTTTTTTGTCGGTGGGAAATAATGATATGAATTCCGTTGCTCAAATTTGAGTGTAGTGATATTTTTATATGTTGTTTTGAAACTTATTAGAAATAAAATAATTAATAATTAAATTATCAATTATTTTTAATATATAATTAATTATAATTTATTATTTCATTAATTATAATTCATTATAATTAATAATGAAATAATCAAATATTTTTTCTCGTAAACATATACAGCAGTCTATTGTTACAGTTCGCAGTCTTTTGTTCAGTAATCGCCCATCTCTACCTGGAAATGTTATGCTCGGGGGGGTCCGTAGCGTCTCCCGGAAGAACCACTTGCGGAGGCGTCCAGCGCCGTCGGTTGCTCTTGCGACGGGCTGTGTCGACTCGCGGGGTCCGTGCGGTGGGCTGGCAGGCGCGCCTGCTCACGAAGGGCGGCGTCCTGTCGCGTCTGGTCACAGGCGACCGGGAGACGCGCGCGTGTGTCCGCAGCAGGGGCCTGCTGGGCGTTTTCAGACTCGGCCGGCACAGGCGGCCCTTGGTGCGGACGCGGGGCCGCTGCGGGGTCACTGACTGGCGAAGGCTGTTGATCCAGCTCTCCATTCTAAAACAGCGTGGGACGCGGAATCTAGTGTACTCAATGGAATATTGTTCATGTAAGTCGTATGATAAAACTGAATAAATTTCACTCAACGTAAGCGGAAGTTACACTGTTGCCGTGTCGCACTGTTCACTCGTGTTGCAACTCAACACTACTGACCGCGCGAGTTGTGCATTAGGCTGAAGACGAATTGCTACCGTCTTGGCGAAGACACAAGCGCCTCTGGTGGCCGGTCAGCTAATTTCGGCAGAAATACATTATATTTTGTGACGGCGATAAGCTTGAAAGCACAGAAAAGGAACCCATTGACAAGGAAATAAAATAACAATACTCAAAATATTTAGAAATATCTGCATTAGTGGCAATTTATGGAAGTCTGTGAGCGTCTTTACAGAATGCAAATACATGTTAATTTTATGTCCATTCAATTTGTTGCCAAAATGTGGTATGGAATTAAAACAGAATATTGTAATTAATACACAAATATTTTGTAGTTTCACTTACCACTTATCATTATATTGTTTCATCATGCCATATTCAACAGATAATTACTGTACTTTTATTATTGAACCTACTGTTATTATACAGGTATGACAAATTTAAAACAACTTGTTTTTAAAACGACGCTTTTCAATTTTAAGTTTTATATTCACGTAGCAACGTTATAATTCCTCTCTCACATTACATTTTCCAATAGTCGTATTACTTTTTTCTAATTTCGACCTGGATGGCCGATGCGGTTTAAGTCAGCACCACACATTCGACATTCGCCAGTTGATAGCGACAGCTCGCCCAACGCAGCTGATGTGCTCCGCAAAAGTCCGCTTTCTTTGATGAGTGCAAAAAGATCGACGCGCAGTGAGTAGTGCGGGAACCGAATGTTGGTCGAATACCGAATGTGTGGAGCCGCCTTTAGAGCGTGTTCAGACTCAGTGCTTCGGCCAAAATGGCGGCGGGCGATAAACGAATTCTTCCTTCGACATAGTTATTCGTCACGTGTATGTTGTCGTGGAGGGCCCCGCGTTCAGTTGACCCCAGATCGGAGGAGCCCACAGGTGTGTTTGTGTCTTCTGAAGGGGCGAATATGCGTCCCATCCAGAAGTAAAGGGTAACTGTCTGTTGGTTGGATAAAAGGTAATTCTCTAAAAAATAAATTAAATAATGATTGAATTTTTGAAGGGATTTAATGTCTTAAGACATTTTACTATTTTTTCTAGTTGAAAAATTGGGTTTAACGAAGCCATGTTCTTGTCATTTTCATTAAAAACATATTTTAGATCGAATATGGGTATGCTTAGGCGAAACATTTTACTGGATATCTTTTAATACTACCATTTTTCTGATATTTTGATATGATTTCTATTACTAAAATTGTACTGAATTTCAAAAATTGAACTTATGACTTATTGATACTATTTTTAATTTTTTTTCTTTTGGTGTAAATTCTTGCACATTTCCTCATTTTTAGGTCATAGCATTGCATGCTAACAATTTTCTCTTAGAACTAACAATTTCATTCTTTGCCAACTTTAAAACAAATTGTTGTGTTTATATTGGCGCAACACGTCTCCCTGCCTGTAAACGAGTGGTGAGCTATGGTAGTAATTCTCCGTTATTAATTTATTTTATTATTTGTCAAGGAGTTGGACTGGCCATTGTGAAGCAGGCATCGTTTTATTGGAACAAATTGCACATGAGCTTATCCGGGAATGGTCGGGAATTGCTATGAGCCACGAGCTACCACATGCACTCCTTTTGGGGTCAGCCATAATTCAAACATATTAAACATGTACAATAATTTTATGAAATCATATACCACAAACACAAGAGACTCAATAGTAAATGAAAATTACCTCATTCAGCAAAGGTTGACAGATTTGAATGGTGTTGACCCACCTTTAAATTATTTCATTACCATATCAATACATTCATGAAACAAATATATTTGTTTTGGTAATAGCATCACATTTATTTGTTGAATATATTGTTAGTTGTTATAAGCTTCACTAGGAAGGTACAGTTTATGTGTTTTCACTTAAAGAAAATGATTGATCAGAATGATTGATGTTTTTAATTTTGTGTTGATCATATGTTATGATGATATCCTTTACCGTGAGGAATCGACTGCGATATCGCAAGATCGGTGAACAAGTGAGAAAAACGACAAACGAGAATTCGTTGTTGAAATTAGAATGGGGGGGAAATACTTTGGAAATTATGCGTTTGACATACTCAAACCCTTTTTATGTTAATCGTATAAGCCGAAGACCAAGCATTTGTCATAAAATCGAACACGTGTAGTGAAGCATGAATTCGTCTTAAAAATTTGAGGTTATAAATACGACGCCAATCCGTTCACAGGTCCTTGATCTCATACCTCATGTTCACTAAGAAGTGAGCCGATGTTTGTTTCGATAACAGTTTAGTCATCCATATCTTAACTAAATTGTACAATGCGTTACCTAATATATGAACAATTTAGTTAAGTGTAAAAATTATTGTATAATTTAATTACAGTACATACTACTAAACAATCTCAAGGAATCAACCGGAAAAGGTGGATCAGGGCATCAACTGATATCACATGTCTCTAATGCTCCGCTGTTTGGAAGAGACTTCTAGTGAACGGTTTCTCTTATCGGAAGTTTTCCGTGGTTTCTTCGATTAACACCAGGCGAATGCTGCAGCGGTACCCCGGCATGGAACGCATAAGATCTTTCCTTTCTCTTCCTTCTCCTATCCTTACTCCTTACTTCCACACACGCGTACTACACTACCACACTTGTCGGGAAACAATTTGGGATATTAAAGCTTTTCCCGGCTTTTGAGAGACGGGGGTGCCACATTGATTAATAACAGACCTAACACTATTTGAAATTTTATTTGATGTTTGGTTGGTATTGTTAATGTTTTCTGATAACTTTCATCTCTGTTAATAGCTACTAATACTTTACTGTAGCCTAGATATCATTGCTGCAACAAATGAGCGATACATATGCTGCGATTTCGAGCAATCGCGCCGAGATCGAAACACGTGTAGCATGCCTCGCCAGGTCGAAAGCACCCCTCGCCGCCTTGGTCGCATGCTTGCGTTTTGCGGAGCTAAACTAGACGTCACGAAAATAGGTGTTTCAAGGGCACTGGAATGCTGCCAATCACAGGATGGTGACTCTTTTCTCACCTCAAGTGACAGCGATGCTGTCAACACGGCCGCAGAGGTGCCAGAAACACGGCCGCGTCGGGGGAGTTTGTCAATGGAAGCACCTTGTCAAGAGGCTCGAGGTGAAGTCTGGAGTTGCGTTTTGAAAAGGGAAAACGCTATCTAATTGAAACACATGAATGTGTGTGTGCACGTTTCACAAAATGTTTTGAGCATGCTACAACATTTTGCAATGTTTTGCTCAAACTAACAAACCTTTTCCGTGAGTTCGTGATCTCAAAACGTTACCCTAAATTTCGTTACATCCCAAAATTTGTTTCTGGAGACGATGTAAGCTGCGAAGCTTCTAGGCTGCAACATTGATACAGGAGTGCCGAGCTAAGTCATCGAGGGGGAGGCTGAAGTAGGCCGTCTTGGCGGAGCGGTATGTGAGAGCTGGTGGGATTGAGAAGAGGTGAGGGGGGGGCGAGGATGTGTGGGGGCGGAGCGGGGAGAGTGCGGGAATGCTACTGGGGGAGGTATGCCTGTGTCATGATGGAACATGGATCATCTCAATGTTTATTTCCATAGTTTGACAGAAGATTTCTTGCAACAAATTAAAGTTTCTGTTAACACACACACACACACAACACACACACTATCATATATATCATATATATACTATATATATATATATATATATATATATGATATATATGTGTGTGTGTGTGTGTGTGTGTGTGTGTGTGTTGTATAGTACTTACAATTCAATAGAAATGATTTGGCAGTTTTGAATTATAATATTCTTAGAATCTTAAAACATGTATCTGATATCCACAAAATGAAAGTAGAATTATATCTAATATTGTTTTTTATGTTTGTTTGCAGGTGAGAACAAGATAACACATATGTATTCCAGAACTGTAGGTGAGTTCTAAATGCTAAATGCTAAATGCTATGTCATAGGTCTTCGAACTTCGATGAGCCTCTGAGAAGTTTGTCACTCATTTTGAAACCCAATTATTTAGTAATAAAACAATACTGGAAATAATAACTTGAGGTCTTATTTGCAAACTGTGACATTAATGAATATGACAATGCGTTATAGAGTTACAAGAAACAGTGATCATTTGATACTTCAATGTCAATAATCACTTAATTTAATCAAATTCTTCACTAAGAAAAAACATTTATAACATTGTGGGAGAAAACATTTCTACTTGAATAAGAAATGCAATTAAACTATTGAAAAATGTTTTAAGGTCAAAACGGCTTTTTTATAGACTATATGTCGCTCGTGGGCTGCGAAAGTAGCACAAATCAAGAACTCAGGTGTTGAGATGAAAACGTTTGAAGTGTTCACATTGCATTGAAATACATAATTCTTGCATTCACACTTCTGCCATTTGTTGGTCTAATACTATACCGTAGGATATGCTGTTGTTGCTGCAGGAAGGTAGACCAACCGGCAATTCTGGAGACTTCAATAACTCAAAGTTCTCAACTCTTTTTTTTTAGTTGTGCCACAATTGCAGGTCATGAGCGATGTATACCTGGTAACGTTATCGGTATATAACATATTAATAAAATAATTTCTGTATTTTCATCAGAATGTTAACAAGTAGGTGCTATTATTTTAGAATCACTTGTCTCACGTGAAAATTAGAATCACAGGACTCACAAATCATGCTTGAACATATAAAGAGCTTCTGTGCTAAAAGGCCGACATTATTTGGGAATAAAGGAAGCATTTTGCAATTGTTGTCTTAAAGTTCGAACACGTCAGTTTAACTTCCCGTCCTTCCGATTATAGATAAAGTTTAATAATACTTGTTTTTACAAAGTCGACATTTGTTAATTAGTTGAGATTTCATCCTGCCATGGCTTG